TAATTCGCTATTTAAGCAGAATACTTTTTCTTGATTAAGATATTTATTTCTAACATTTAGTAGGTTGTGTTTTTTTTAAAATACAGAGAATAAAACAAAATGGCCCAGGATCTCACCACCCAAACACCCTAGCCATAATAGTAACAATAATAAAGAAGCACAGGTGTAGCCGAAACTGGTTTGGCTCAGTGGATAGAGTGTCGGCCTGCGGACTGAAAGGTCCCAGGTTCGATTCCAGTCAAGGGCATGTACCTTGGTTGCGGGCACATCCCCAGTAGGGAGTATGCAAGAGGCAGCTGATCAATGATTCTCTCTCGTCGAAGTTTCTAGCTCTCTATCCCTCTCCCTTCCTCTCTGTAAAAAAAAAAAAAAAAAAAAAAAAAAAATATATATATATATATATATATATATATATATATTTTTTTTTTTTTTTTTTAATGCTATTCTTGCAAAAACCGGTTTGGCTCAGTGGATAGAGTGTCGGCCTGTGGACTGAAGGGTCCCGGCTTGGATTCTGGTCAAAGGCATGTACATTGGTTGCAGTCACATCCCTGGTAAGGGGTGTGCAAGAGGCAACTGGTCAATGTTTCTCTTTCATCGATGTTTCTGGCTCTCTATCCCTCTACCTTCATCTCTGTAGAAAATCAATAAAATATATATTTTTAAAAAATGCTATTCTTTAAAAAGAAGAAGAAGAAAAAGAAGAAGAAGAAGCAGCAGCAGCAGCAGCAGCAGCACAGGGGTGGCTGGAAGCAGGCAGGAGCTCTGTGAACAGTCCTGGGAATCCGAGCCCCAGAGGAGAGGCACTGTCCTTGCCTATCATGCCCTCTGCCCACGTGACCCCTCACCTGCGGGGTGTGTCCTGTCCCGCGGGCCCCGGAGCTTCCGCAGAAACAAGCCTGACTCACACTCTGTCAGGCTGGTGAGGCCCAGGGTCACCCACTCCGGTGCCAGGACCTTTCCTCGTTTCCCGTGTCTGCTCTGGGCTCCCGGCCTCCTCCTGTCAGCTTCGTGCGTGCTGCCTTCACTCGTCTTTCTCTCCCTGATTGGTATGTACTCTTTGTAACTGGCCTTTGGTCTTATCTGTCACGTCTAAATTGGAAATTGCTATCCTGGAACACCGGCCTTCGTTCATTTCTCCTGCTTTCTATCAGGTACGGTGCATGTGCCCTCCTCACCCCGGGGGGGCCGGCGAGGACCAGAGGGCCTGTCCCTTGTCTCCGGGGCTGTGGCCTCTCCGAGGCCTTCCGTGCTCCTTCCCCCGAGGAGGGGAGGTGGAGAGCGAAAATGGCTCAGATATCTGGACCCTGGCCATTTTCAAGTTACAGTTTCCACTGGTGATAACCTCAAGGCAAAAGAACTCCCCAGCCCTGGCCGCCGGTGTGGCTCAGTGGATAGAGAGCATCAGCCTGCGGACTGCAGGGTCCCGGGTTCAATTCCAGTCAAGGGCACGTGCCCAGGTTGCGTGCTCGATCCCCACTGGGGGGGCGTGCGGGGAAATCTGCTCTGAAGGCCTGGGTGGTGCTGGGAGCAGGGGTGTGGAGCGAGGAGTTGGGCCCATTGGTTGTGCAAACTTGGACCTGCTGAGCGCTCAGCCTTGTGTAAACAGGCCCTGTGGCCTGAGGGAGCCTGGAGTGTGCACACTCCCCTGGGTGGAGTGTCAGCTCTGACGTTCATTGCCCGCTGTCTGTTCCTCGTGGTCCAGGGCGGTGGGGTTTGGGCTGACAGCTGTTTTTTGTTTGTTTGTTTGTTGGTTTTTTAAGTGTCATTTTTGTTTTGTTTTGTTTTGTTTTGTTTTTTAAATATATTTTATTGAGCCAAAACCGGTTTGGCTCAGTGGATAGAGCGTCGGCCTGGGGATTGAAGGATCCCGGGTTTGATTCCGGTCAAGGGCATGCACCTTGGTTGCAGGCACATCCCCAGTAGGGGGGGTGTGCAGGAGACAGCTGATCGATGTTTCTCTCTCATCGATGTTTCTAACTCTCTATCCCTCTCTCTTCCTCTCTGTAAAAAAATCAATAAAATGTATTAAATAAATAAATAACCCGGGACCCTTCAGTCCGCAGGCCGACGCTCTATCCACTGAGCCAAACCGGTTTTGGCCGTCAGCTGTTCTGGAGGGGGTCGCCCCTCCCAGGCCCTGGGCCTGCCTGCTCCCCTGGGGGTGCCTTTCCGAGCGGGAGCTTCGTGGAGAGCAGGGTCCTGCGTGGCTGCCAGGATCCTAAAGGGCCTTTCTTGTGAGTGACCACCCTGCTGAGGGAAGCTTCCCATAATCCTCTCCCTTTTGTCCTTTAACATGGTGCAGTCTCCAGCCTGAAATCTGAGCATGCGCCCTGCACACTTGGAAATCTCGGGGCTAACCAGGCCTTGCCCTGTCTCCGGGGGCCCTGGCCCGGCTCCACGTGGCTGGCTCCTGACCTACTTGCTTGAGGAATGCCCAACCAGGGGAGGCCAACCGGCACTTGTGGCAGTGGATAGAGCTGGCACCTCTTGCTTACCCTGGGGGGCAGGTGGCAGGGCTGGCCTTCCTTGTCCAGAGATGGCCTGGAGCCCTGGCCTGTGTGGGGCAGTTGGTTGGGTGTCCCATGCACCAAAAAGGTTGCCAGTTTGATTCCTGATCAGGCCACATGCCTGGGTTGCTGGTTCAGCCCCCGGCAGGAGACATTCAGGAGGCAGCCAATTGATGTTTTGCTCTCACATCAATGTTTCTCTCTCTCTCTTTCCCTTTTTCTTAATAAAAAAAATCTTCAGCCGAAACCGGTTTGGCTCAGTGGATAGAGTGTCGGCCTGCGGACTGAAAGGTCCCAAGTTCTATTCCGGTCAAGGGCATGTACCTTGGTTGCAGGCACATCCCCGGTAGAGGGTGTGTAGGAGGCAGCTGGTCGATATTTCTCTCTCATCGGTGTTTCTAGCTCTCTATCCCTCTCCCTTCCTCTCTGTAAAAAATCAATAAAGTATATTTAAAAAAGAAAAACGGGGCGGGGGGGGCGGGGGGGAGATAGACTCGCCCCCTATGCCTGGCCTGAGGACTGGCTTTGTCCTTATCTGAAAACTCACGTGAAGAACCACATGAGACCCCAGACCATTCTGAGTGGGCACCCACCTGGGCTGAACTTAGAACAGGACCTCCCCTGTGCCAGCTGTGCCCCCCATAGGGCAGTGGCTGGTCCCAGGCTGTCTGGGAAAGTGCCCAGAGAGGGGGGACTGTGACCAGCAGGCCCCCAAGCAGGACTGTCAGACACACACCTGGGCCGTCTGCCTGAGGATTCGTCCTTAGCCGGAAGCTCTTAGCAGGGGCGATTGGGCACTTGGTAGAACTCTTGAGCCGTGGGCCCCATCAGCACCAGGGAGACAATGGTGGTGTTGTCGGCGGGCAGTGGGAGGGCAGCAGGTGTTAGACCAGTGGGGTCAGTCCGGACCTGGGTTCAGCAACCTCAGTCCTTGGGTTCCGACTAGGAAAGAATTCAGAGCAAGACCCCAACTGGAAGAGAACACTTATTTGGCAAGTCACAGAGGGAGAGGAAGTCGTGTTTGTCCTCAGGGCTGGACTTCAGGGCGTGCAACACAGCACATTCTGTGTAGCCAGCAAACTCATTAGTCCACAGAGCCAAAATCGACAGCACGACGATTGACATTTCGTGGGAGAGCCACATTTTTTTAAACTTAAACTTCTTCTTTTGAGAGCCAGATTTTTTTAAGCTTAAACGTCTTCTAACGCCACTTCTTCAACACAGACTCGCCCAGGCCGTGGCGTTTTGTGGAAGAGCCACACTCAAGGGGCCAAAGAGCCGCATGTGGCTCGAGAGCCACCGTTTGCCGACCACTGGGCTTAGGAAACTGGTTATGGGAGTCAAAGTGGAAGGGCCCTCGGAGCTTGGGAATGAGGAAGCTAATGGCAGTATGCCTGGGCAGGGAGGTGGGAGAGAGGAAGGGACAGGGTTACTCCTGGGACAGGGAGGGCCCCGGGTCCTCCATTCTAAGGGTTTTAAGGGCTGCGATGTTAGGGGAGATCCCAGGACAAGAGCTTTAATAGAATATTCCGTAGCTTTCCAGGTGTGCCCACTCAGTGGTCTCCACTGATGGATTGGCTGGCATCAGGCCAGGGGGGTCACTATTCCATGCAGCTGGTCCCATGGCTGGTTCTGTTGCTTCTCTGGGCCTGGAGCTGAAGACCAACCGAGGCCTCTAGATGTTACTATCTCTAGGGAGGAAAGGTCAAGGGGTCCAAACCTCATGTGCGAGGGGAGAAAAGGTCACCCTGCAGGGAGGTCCCACCCTGCATTGCTAGGCACCTGGGGCTTTCCGCCCTGATGACCTTCTGGACCTGACCTCATGCCTAACTGCCTGCAACAGCAGCGCCAACAGCCGAAACCGGTTTGGCTCAGTGGTAGAGCGTCGGTCTGCGGACTGAAGGGTCCTGGGTTCGATTCCAGTCGGGGGGGGGGGCATGTACATTGGTTGTGGGCATATCCATGGTAGGGGGCGTGCAGGAGACAGCTGGTCGATGTTTCTTTCTCATTGACGATGTTTCTACCGAGTTTCCCCGAAAATAAGACATCCTCCGAAAATAAGACCTAGCGCATGGAAAGATAAGACATCCCCTGAAAATAAGACCTAGCGCAACTTTGGGAGAAAAAATTAATAATATAAGACACTGTCTTATTTTCGAGGGGAAAGGGTAGCTCTCTGTCCCTTTCTCCTCCTCTCTGTAAAAAAACAATAAAATATATTTATTTAAAAAAAAAGAATACCATTGATTACATTTTAAAAACAAACAAAAAACCCAGTAGCACCAACACACGCAGGAGGAAGCAGGAGGGCCAGGAGGACAGGTCTGCACTAACGTGGGGGAGCTTGAGCCCTATTCCCCGCCCTCCCCCCAGCTGGCTTCAGGACTGCCTTGGCCAGCCACCAAGCCCTGAAGCCGGCCACCCTCCCCTTGACTTCCTCCTCCTCCTCCTCCTCTCTCCTCCTCCCCCGCCCACCCCGCCCTATCTCAGATGCTGGAGGCCCCACCCCTGCTGTGGGCAGCCTTTTTATTGGGCCTGTCCCTGCTGGGGCTGCTGCTGTGCCTACGAGGAGGACCCAGTGGCCTGCTCCTCATCGGCTGGAACGAGTTCGTCCTGCAGCCCGTGCGCAACCTGCTCATGGGGGACAGCAAGGAGCAGCGCATCCTGCGCTACGTGCTGCAGCACGCGGCCGCCGGGGACCCGCAGAGCGTGCTGGACGCCATCGACACCTACTGCTCACAGAAGGAGTGGGCCATGAACGTGGGCGACAAGAAAGGTGGGCGGCCCGGCCAGCAGGGGGCGACTACAGGGAGGGGGACCCCAGACCGGGCAGCACAGCCAACTATCACCCCATTTCTGAACATTGAACTCATCTGGAGCCCCGGGGGCCGGAGCCACCTGTCCAGCCAGGGGTCAAGCCTGTGCAGAAACCCTAACACCCACACATCCCTGTCTCCATGGGGAGAGAGGGACATTTGGTGGTGTTTTTTTTGTTTTGTTTTGTTTTGTTTTAATATATTTTATTGATTTTGTACAGAGAGGAAGGGAGGGAGATACAGAGTTAGAAACATCGATGAGAGAGAGTCATCGATCAGCTGCCTCTTGCACACCCCCTACTGGGGATACTGGGGATACATGCCCTTGACCGGAATCGAACCCGGGACCTTTCCGTCCCCAAGCCGAAGCTCTATCCATTGAGCCAAACCGGTTTTGGCGAGAGGGACATTTGATAAGCCACTCAGGAGGCCACTGCGTAGCGTCTCCCCCGCCCCCCCCCCTTGCCGCAGACCAACAGCCAGTATTAGGGGGGACAGTAGTGGCTCCAGGAGGCCCTGTATTCACACGCCATACCTCAGAGCTCGGCTGGTGCAAGGTGGACAGTGGGTTCCTGGGTGTCCCTGCCAGGCACGAGGGTGCAAAGAGCTCCTTGGACTCTGCCCGGCCCAGGCATTGGCTGCCTCCTGACCTTGGACTCCAGCATGGAATGTGCTGTGTTGCACGCCCTGAAGTCCAGCCCTGAGGACAAACGACAGCTACTGTCTGGCTCCAGGGACTGAGAGTGGCCCCTGGGTGGAGTGGGGATGGGGTGGGGGTCTTCCACAGAGGGCAGCTCTGGGTTAGAGCCAGTACGCGCCAGCCAGGGAACGTGGAAAGAGAAGGGCCAGTGTGTGGAAAGGCAGAGGCCTACGGTACCATGGGGGTTTGGGGGGGAGGGAGGGGTCAGTGCCGTGAGACGGGGCCTTGGGGGAGGGCTGGGGGGGCCAGGACTCAGAGTGGGTGTCCTCCCGCCCTGCGCTCACCCCTGTCCACCCCTGAAGGCCAGATCGTGGACGCGGTGGTGCGCGAGCAGCGCCCCTCCGTGCTGCTGGAGCTGGGGGCGTACTGCGGCTACTCGGCCGTCCGGATGGGCCGCCTGCTGGCTCCCGGCGCCCGCCTGCTCACCATCGAGCTCAATCCCGACTACGCCGCCATCACCCAGCAGATGCTGGACTTCGCCGGCCTGCAGGACAGGGTGCGCACCTCCCCCCGCCCGTGACAGAGCCAGGGGTGGGCGGGTGGGAGGGGGAGGCCTGGGGTCTGCCCCACATAGTTCAAAACACGTTTGTCCCGCGGGAGCCAGGCCTCAACGCCTCCTGGGCCAGGGATCACGGGCCTCCAGCAGCTCCGTGAGGGCATCTTACTTAAGGTGACCAGACGTCCCAGGACGCGGGACAAATGGTTAAAAAATCAGGACGTCTGCCCAAACCGGTTTGGCTCAGTGGATAGAGCGTCGGCCTGCGGACTGAAAGGTCCCGGGATCGATTCCCATCAAGGGCATGTACCTTGGCTGCAGGCACATCCCCGGTGGGGGGTGTGCAGGAGGCAGCTGGTCGATGATTCTCTCTCATTGATGTTTCTAACTCTCTGTCCCTCTCTCTTCCTCTCTGTAAAAAATCAATAAATAAAATATATTAAAAAGAAAGAAAGAAAGGAAGAAAGGAAGGAAGAAATGGGACGTCTGGTCACCTTAGTCTTTTTTTTTTTTTTTAAATATATTTTATTGATTTTACACAGAGAGGAATTGAGAGGGATAGAGAGTTAGAAATGTCGATAAGAGAGAAACATTGACCAGCTGCCTCTTGCACACCTCCCGCTGGGGATGTGCCCACAGCCAAGGTACATGCCCTTGACCGGAATCAAACTCGGGATCTTTCAGTCCGCAGGCCGACGCTCTATCCACTAAGCCAAACCGGTTTCGGCTGGTCGCCTTAGTCTTACTGCCCATCCCTCAGAGCAGGAAACCTCCGCAGAGGGAGGGGCAGAGCGGAGACTTGTGTCCCCAGAACCGCAGAGGAACTGTGGGTGGATTTGCCTAGGAGTCTGGGGGCGGCGGGGGGGGGGGGGTGCTCTTTGACCCCCGTGGGCACAGGCACTGATGGAGCGCCATTGCAGGTCACCGTGATCCTTGGGGCGTCCCAGGACATCATCCCCCAGCTGAAGAAGAAGTATGACGTGGACACGCTGGACATGGTCTTCCTGGACCACTGGAAGGACCGGTACCTGCCGGACACCCGCCTCCTGGAGGTGAGCTGTGCCGCTGCCCGGTGGGGATGCACCGGCTGCCGGCGAGCATGGGCTGCCTGGCCGGGGGGCCTCCGCCTCTGAGGAGCCAAGCGCTCCAGCGTGGCCCTGCCGGGGGGGGGGGGGGGCCGGGGGGCCACAGGTGGCTCCTGCTGGCCACCGATGGTCAGGGAGCTCAGAGGGCTGCGTGCAGGAGGCCCCGGGGCAGGAAGGAGACCAGGAACGGGCTCAGGCGGCCTGTGCCAGGGCAGCAGGCCGGGCGCTCCTGGACCAGATGGCCTGGTCCAAGAGGGCCCAGGGCAGAGGAGGCAGGAGGGAAGCAGCCTGGCAGCCGTGCTGGCTCTCCCTGCTGGATGGTGCGGGTTAGGGAACTCGGCGTCTCCTGCCCTCCTTCCCCCACCCCCCATGTCCCCATCACCAGACTGGCCCGGCCCTCAGTGCCAGCTGCTCAGCCGGCACAGAGCGGTGACCATTGGGCTGCCTTGTCAGGAGGGTGGAGCTTGGGTAAGGTGACCAGATGTCCCGCTTTGGGCGGGACAGTCCCGATTTTTAACAATTTGTCCCGCGGCGTTTTTAAAAAAGTCCTGATTTATTTATTTATTTATTTTTGAAAGAAAAATTGGGACTTTTTTTTAAAAAACGCCGCGGGCCGCGGGACAAACTGTTAGACATCGGGACGTCTGGTCACCTTAAGCTTGGGGCCTGTAGTGAGTTGACACGCGGCACTTAATACGGATGCGTTGGCCCTCCCTGGGCGGTCAAGAGGACTCTTAGAAGCATCTGGGCCCTCCTGGAGGACCTGGGACACTGTCCCACCCCCGCCTCCCTGCCCGAGGGCCAGCCTGGCACCGCCCCATGTTACCTGTCCCAGGCTCCCCCACCTCCGCTCCCTCCGGGTGGACACTCTGCCCAGTGCAGGGACTGGAAGCACCTGGAACCCAGTGGTTCCGGGGGGTGTGAAAGGGCACGGGATGTTCCAGGTGGGGGCCAACTTGGGCCAGAGGGCCAGAGCTGTGTGTGGATGGCCTCAAATGCCACATGGGCTCCCAGCCCACGAGGGTGAGGTTGGGGTCCAGGAAGGATCCCCGTTGGGCGGGCAGAGCGTGGGGAGGGATGGCCGTGAGGAGGGGTGCAGGTGTCCCGAACCTCAGGGAGGCAGTGGGTGCTGGTGGTGGAAAGGAAGGGGACCCTGGGTTGGAAGTGGGGCAGGCCCTGAGTTGGCTGAGACATGCGGGCAATGAGGAGGTGACCAGGAGAGGTGGGGTGGGGGGAGAGGCTGTGCCTCAGGACAGAGTCTTCCTGGGGTCCCAGCCCTCCTGGCCGTGCTGGCTGCGGTTCCCTCCAGCCTGTGGGCTGTGGGGCAGCCGAGGGCCCTCCAGCCAGAGTTTCGGACAACACCCGTAAGAGGTGGACGTGGGCTGGGCCCAGAGACTGGCTTCTCACACAGAGAAGCAGTAGCCCCAGGGCATGGACACAGTTTTAAAACCCGTAAGAGGCTGGGGCAGGGGTCCTCAAACTTTTTAAAGTGGGGGCCAGATCACGGTCCCTCAGAGAGCTGGAGGGCCGGATTATATGAACTACTAATTCCTACTGTAACACCTCGGCTGCGCTCACTGCCCAAAAAACCCTGGCGGGCCGGATCAGACTCCTCTGCGGGCCGCATGTGGCCCGCGGGCCGTAGTTTGAAGACGCCTGGGCTGGGGCAACCCAACCACGAGGCAGAATGTGAACAGAAAGCATTCCTGAGCCTGGGGGGGTCCACCAGGCAGAGGGGCGGGAACCTGGAAGTCAGGTATTCAGGGCAGAAAGCAGGCGGCCGCCCCGCCGGGCCTGTGTCACAGGGCGGGGAGGGTTCCAGCAGCCTGGGTGTGATGGCGAGGACAGGGCCGGCACGGACGGAAGAGCAGCAAACACCGCCGTTCCGTCACCAGGAGCCTGATCGTGTTCTCAGTGCTCCTCGTTCGAGGCTGGGAATTCTCTCCAAAGAGAAGCCCCGATTGGGACCAGCTGCGTTTCTCACCGGGGGCTCTGCAGGCCCCTGGCCTGTGCGGGGCAGGGCCAGCTGCCCCGCCCCTCCGCTGGGAATAGGGCTGGCAGGGTGCCAGTTCAAAGTCAGGTGGCCGCTTGGAGGAGGCCTCAGTCCCTTGGCACCTTTGAGTCACCAACGGGGCGGCTTGAGGTGTCCTCAGTCGTGGCAGCTGGCTTCCCCCAAAGCCAGGGGTCAGAGAGCAAGAGGCAGACAGACAGACAGACAGACAGAAGGAGGGGCTGGGTGTGACCTAGTCCCTGGGGCTTCTGCTTCTCTGTGTTAGAAGCCAGTTTCTGGGCCCAGCCCACGCCCACTCCTTGAAGGGCCGAACTGGGGACACAGTGTTAAAGTCACCTCGCCCTTGGCCCCCTGTGCTCACACCCCGTTTCCTCCCGGGCAGCTAGCACAAGCCGGCTTCTCAGACTGCGCTTCTGGCAGGAGTCTCCAGGGGCCTGTGTCCTGTGCTGGCGTAAAATTCGGTTCCTTCTCTTTTGGAAGAGAAAACACTCCGTGACTCGTAATGATCCTTTCTGTTGCAATTCTGCCTCGTGGGTTGCCCCAGCCTCGTGACCTCACCCGTGCCTGTTGTCCGGAGCGCTGGCTGGAGGGCCCTCGGCTGCCCCACAGCCCACAGGCTGGAGGGAACCGCAGCCAGCACGGCCAGGAGGGCTGGGACCCCAGGAAGACTCTGTCCTGGGCGCAGAGTTCCAGTCCGATGTCCGGTCACCTGGGGGTGCCCCTTGTGTGTGGTCCTGTCGGCAGCCTTCTTTTTTCTTTTTTCTTTTCTCTTTTTTTCTTTCTTTTTTTTTTTTTTTTTTATATATTTCATTGAGTTTTCACAGAGAGGAAGGGAGAGAGATAAAGAGCTAGAAACATCAATGAGAGAGAAACATCAGTCAGCTGCCTTTTGCACATCCCCCACTGGGGATGTGCCTGCAACCAAGGTACAGGCCCTTGACTGGAATCGAACCTGGGACCTTTCAGTCTGCAGGCTGACGCTCTACCCACTGAGCAAAACCGGTTTTGGCCAGCACAGCCTTCTTGCAGAGGACATGCTGGGGGAGGGGAAGCTGCAGAGAGACTCATGTGACCCCAGGAGGTGAGGGGGTGAAACCGGGGGTCAGGCCAGCAGCATAGGGAGCCCCCCACCTGGTCAGGTGCCCCTGAACTGCTGGTTTGGAGCACACTGGCTGGGCACCCCTGACCTGCACCCCCTCCCACCGCCTTGTCCCCCGCAGGAGTGCGGCCTGTTACGCAAGGGGACGGTGCTGCTGGCCGACAACGTCATCTGCCCGGGGACGCCCGAGTTCCTGGCGTACGTGCGCGGGAACAGCCGCTTCCACTGCACGCACTTCTCCTCCTTCCTGGAGTACTCCCAGACCGTGGACGGTCTGGAGAAGGCCGTCTACATGGGCCCGGGCAGCCCGGCCCCGCCTTGACCGCCCACACTCCGCGGGGGGCCCCCCCCAAGCCCGGTTAGGAAGGTCACGATGGGTTCGCTGCTGCCCTCTCTGCTTCTGCAGTTCTGTCCTCCATGCCACACACACAAGGCCTGCGAGGCCCAGGCCAGCCACACCGGCCCCTCTGCACATGGCCCCGAGCTGTCACACCCGGCCCCCCGCCCAGAGCAAGCTGCTCACCGTGCCCCATCCCCGCAGTCCATCTGGAAAGCTATGCGTGAACAGTGAGCCAGGGGAGGCGGTGGCCGTGGCTCCCTCGGCCCTCTTACCAGCACCCTAGTAGGGTTTCTTACACGGACAGGCCCTTCGCCCGGGCGAGGGGGGAGGTGGGAACATCTGGAGACCGGGCTGTGCACCCAGTCTGTCCTCTGCAGTCGCCGGGCAGCAGCACTGCCTCAGCGAGGGCACTGTGACCAACAACACATCACACCTCTCTGATTCCTCCGGGTTTTCCCTTCTCCTTTTCAAGAAAGAAATGCAACTTCACTAAAGCTGGCTGACTGTTTTAACAATTTTATACCTTGACAATCATGACTAAAAGATACTAAGACAGTAATTAAAGATCTAAGTATTTAAATATAAGAGGTCCACTTTGTGTGTGTTTTTCAACCACCACGCTGCTCTTTCCCTCCGCTGGCGCCCTCCATGTTGGCACCAAACACACAGTGCTCCCCTTGACTGGATGCCAATGTTGTCCACATGCCCAGGGGCTCCCAGCCCCCAGCACTGCTCCTCCAGTGGCCTGGCCAGGAGCCGGTCACAGCCCCACCTGGACAGCTGCAGGCTGTGTCACCCCGCCAGGGAGCCTGTCCCAGCCCCACCTGGACAGCTGCAGGCTGTGTCACCCGGCCAGGCGCCTGTCCCAGCCCCACCTGGACAGCTGCAGGCTGTGTCACCCGGCCAGGGAGCCTGTCCCAGCCCCACCTGGACAGCTGCAGGCTGTGTCACCCGGCCAGGAGCCTGTCCCAGCCACACCTGGATAGCTGCAGGCTGTGTCACCCGGCCAGGAGCCAGTCACAGCCCCACCTGGACAGCTGCAGGCTGGGTCACCTGCGAAACCAGAACAGGGCAGCTGGCCACCCTTCACACCCATCTCTGGCCAAGCAGGTGTGGGGGGATGGAGGACACGGCTCTGCGGCAGTGCCAGGCATGGCCTCCGGCAGCTGGTCCCTCAGGGCCCCCCGGTGGCACTAATGGGGGCACCGCCCCAGGCCCACTCAGCCTTGTTTATGGAAAAGACTCAGCCCAGGCTGCACAGCTGGTGAGGAATGAGGTAGAGCTGATTTGTATCCACTAACTCCAGCCCCAGCCCTGTCCCTCCCATCCCAACCCCCAGCCTGCTTGGACCTCTGGCCAGCTCAGGGGAGCACCTGTCCTGGGTGAGCCCCTCTGCCCAGGACACCACGCTGGGGCTCAGGGCCCAGCCCACCGCCCAGGAGCAAGCCCACTCCTCTTTGTATGTAGCGAGGGGATGGCAGTGAGTCTGGGAGGATGTGTGTGTGTGTGTGTGTGTGTGTGTGTGTGTGTGGGAACCGCCGGGGGCCTGAGAGCTGAGGTCCCTCTGGGCACTGGGCCCCCATCCCCCCGCCCCACTCCCCACCTGGCAAACAGGAGCCATCAGCTTGCGGCGAGAGATCTGAGCCGTGAGAGACGTTCCTTGGTCGCTTTTTTTAATTTTTAAATTTTCTTACAAAAGTGTACGTGTTTACCAATACAGTCTTGTTTTGGTTTTGTGTATAATGCTTTCCGTCAGTGCTTTTCTTCCGTTTTGAAGTCACAAACAGCAGGCACTGAACAGCAGTCCCCCGCTGCTTCGGAGGGTCAGGCCGGGCGGGTCAGTCCCGGGCTCTGGCCGGCAGACCGGGCACTGAGGAAGACTCCCACTGCACGGGGGTCCCAGGCACCCAAGGCCAGGGTGGGGGCTAGAACAGCCTGACCCCCATCAAGCTGTCTCCAATCCGCTCTGTGGGATCAGCCCCCCTAGGGCAGCCCAGTGGCTGGCCTGCCCCCGGGGGTGAGTGGGGGGCCGGGAGTGGAAACCCAGGGGGTCCCCTCTACCCTTCGGAGTCAAACACCTCTGAGCCCCACTCCCTGCCCAGCTGCCTGTTCCCAGGGCCAGCTGCCCAGCTCTTCCGGGGCACTCCCCTCTCCTGTCCTTCCAGGCCCCCCTCTCCTGCCGCCTCCCCGGACCCTGCCCTGCAGCCCCCCAGCCTCCTCTCGCACTCGCACACAGCACCATGCACACAGCACCATGTCAGTAAACAGCTAACTCTGCCTAGGGAGTTAGGAGGGAGGGAGCCAGGGGGTGGGAAGAGAGGCGTGTCCAGAAAGTCCGGCCTTGGCTCCCGCGCAGAGGCACTGCCGACTCTTGCCACCAGGGGGCTCCAAGCTCCGAGGCTGGGTCTGTGCAGGCTGGCCCTGGAGTTCCCTTCTTCCCTCCATCAGATTCCTAAGAATGAAAAGCTGGGCCCAGGCCCTGAGGAGGGAGAGGGCAGGGCTGAGCAGGGTGGCGGGGTGGCGGGGTGGCAGGGGAGGGCTGCCCCCTCAGACTAGGCAGACGGAGGTGTATACAGAGGCAGCTGCTGTGGGACGACCCTGAGGGTTTCACCCCCGGGGCCAATCCCAACATGCTCTTCTTCAGAGGCCATGCACTTGGGGTGTTTTAAGGTGTAGGGGGGCCACCTCTGCTCTGGTCCCATATCCTCTGGGCCCCGACTTGGCTTGTCCTCCCCTAAGATTCAGGCGGCTGGGCTCCAGGTGGGGGTCGGGGAGGGGTCCCCCCAGGGAGCGCGCAGGGAGAACAGAGCATGCAGCCAGCAGAGGCGAGAAGAGCCCCTGCCCAGAGGAGGGGAAACGGCCGGACAGACAACCAGAGGAGAGAACGTACCAGGCATGCAAGCTAGACCCAGGAGTCAACGGGCTGAGGCTTAGCGTCCCCCACAGCGTCCACCAGCCTGACCGCGGGCCTGCTGGGCCCCGGAGGAGCAGCCTTCCTGCTGGGGTCAGGCTGCAGGAGAAGGGCGTGGGCACGGGGGTGTTAGAGGCAGAACACAGGAGGTTAGTCAGAGCTGGCTCTGGGCGCTGGGCTGGTCCGAGGGGCAGGGCCTATCCATGCTGGTGCACAGGAGGAGAGGGCCGAGGGGGCGGGGAGCCAGGCTAACGTGGCTCACACAGGTGCAGCGTGATGAGTGTGGGTGCACAAGGCCTGAGCCCGAAGCCAGGGGATTGGCACAGAGCAGGGGGCAGGTGCTGCCCTGGAAGTGGGAACACGAGGCGCTCTTGCCCAGAGTAGAGGGTAGACACCCTTGCTCAGACTCCTGGGGTCCTGTGCACCGTGCCAGGCCATGCCCTGGGTCACGGGCCCCCTCCCTCTCTGAGCGTGAGCTCTGAACCAGCTGCACCCACAGACTGGCTCTGATGTGAGGTCCCCAAGGTGGAGGGGCCGCTCCCGGGCCCAATCTCCCAGCCCAGCCGCCCTACAGGTGAGCCCGCCCTGGGCGGATGCCAGGCCCCGCCTTGCCTGAGCCCCTCTCCTGGCAACCACTGCTCATGCCGCCCCCCTGGGCAGCTGCCCAGCCACTCACTTTCAAGGGCTCCTTCTCAGAGGCCTCCCCTGCGGGGGCACTGCCTCGAGCCCTCCACTCTCTCCGGTCCATCGTGGAGTATCCATCTGTGGGGGCGCAAGGGAGGTCCTGAGGGGCAGGCCCCCCGGAGCAGGTCTCCCTCTCGGCTGGGACAGGGCACCAGCTTCCCTGCCCCAGCTCTGTCCGGGGGGCCTAGGACGGGTCTTCCCAAGCTCCTCCTCCCGGCTCTCACCCTCCCCTGCCTCAACCGCTCAGGCCCTGCAGCGGCTCGCTGCTTCCCCTTGGCAGCTCCGGACTGCCCAGCCTCCCTTCAGCTGACAGACCAGAGACCCTCGCTGGGCACTGACCTCTTCCTGGCCCCACCCCAGTACCCTCTGAGCACCCCTACACCAAACGTCTCTTTTTCTTTTCTTTTTTTTAAAATATATTTTGTTGATTTTTCACAGAGAGGAAGAGAGAGGGATAGAGAGTTAGAAACATGGATGAGAGAGAGAGACATCGATCAGCTGCCTCTTGCACACCCCCTACTGGGGATGTGCCCACAACCAAGGTACATGCCCTCGACGGGAATCGAACCCGGGACCCCTCCGTCCGCAGGCCGACGCTCTATCCACTGAGCCAAACCGGTTTCGGCCAAACCTTTCTTTTTCAACCACTGCTTCCTGGGCATTCCCAACAACACATACGAGCACACACACACACACAAACACACACACACACAGAGCATAACCACCTGGCCACGCCCCCTCCTCCCCACACAGGAGGCACTGGGCACTGCCCCTGCACTCACCTGGGCCAAGGGCCTCCATGGGAATCACATCCCGGCTGCCTGGCTTCTCACCATCTAAAAGGCACAAGCAAGGGGCTGGCTGGTTGCAGGCAGCAGTGGGGGGCCCAGGGCAGATACCCCCATGGCAGGGCTGGCCTCAGAGACCCTGGGCACCCTTCATCACTAACATCTCTGCACCCTTTTGCTGGCTCACTGCCCACTGCCAATCTCTCCCCACAGCCTGGCACCAATGGGAGTACCCCAGGGGGAGAGGATGTACAGGGCTGCAAACGGGGGAAGGGACCTCCCTGAGGCCATTTTCCTGTAAGAAGGCCCACCTCCCTCCTCCACGCCTCACCAGCCTGGTCACTATCCATGCACCGGGTGGAGAGACACGGCTCTAGCTCAGGGGTGGCTCCCCACACCCCGCCCGTCCTCACCGAGGCTCTTGTCCACCAGCGGCAGCGTGCTGTCATCAAACCCTCCGGGACTCAGGGCGCCCTTGGGCCCCTTGGCATGAGCAGCAGCGGACTGGAGGGGGGACAGCCAAACAGACAGGGGAGGGAGGGGGTCAGGGGCACGCACTCCGGCGGCGGGGGACGCAGCCTGGCAACGTGAGCAAAGAAAGGCCGTGCACCTGGAAGCGGGCCTTGGTCCAGCCGTCCCTCTGCAGGGCGCCGCGCAGCTCCTTGTAGCTCCACACGGTCTGCAGCACGTGGGACGCGGCCTTCGCCTCGCGCACCGATTGGCTGTGGCCGGGGCCCAGGGCGGGGTCAGCGTCCGGCCCCGCCCCCGGGCCTCCCTCCCGCTCCCCCGCCCGCGTACCTGGAGGCGCCCAGGGCCGCCAGCGCCGGCACGCCGCGGGCCTGCAGCAGCGAGCGCGCGTTGTCCGGGCTGTCGGACACGATCTCGTGGATGGTGTTGAGCACGGCCACCACCGTGTCCTCCTCCAGGCGGGCCCCGGGGCGCGCGGGCGCCTGCGCGTTGCGCACGTTCCGCACCAGCTCTGCCATGGCGTAGCTCCCTGGGGGGGAGGGGGAACGAGGAGCGGGGAGGGGGGGTGGTGTTAGGACAGGCCTCTGCCCACCCCCCCACCTCCTATGGGGAGAGAGGAGCCCACAGCTCCCAGCGCACAGGGGTAGACCAGGCTCAGGCAGCTTGATGGGAGACTCCAGCGCCTGGGACAAAGTGATGTGATGGGGCCCAGGCCAGGCCCTACTA